ATAAACGTAGTTTTCGACGTGGCGTGGTGCGCGTTTTCGAAAAAAAAAAAAAAACAATGGCAGAAAAATCGGAGAGGTGCGCGCAAAACTGTGTGCGACAGTTTAAAGATGTTTCATGCAAGCTATATGCTTATACAAAATAGTATAATCAGTTTTATTCCGCGAAATGAGTTATTTCTAATCATTATAAATTCGAATTGCGTTAATTGTCCTGATATCGCTCGTTTTATTAGCGCAATTCCCTTTATGTAAAAAAGAAAAAAAAAAGAAACGAATTATTGGTTTCCCATACGATCTCGCGACAAAAATAGACTTGTCATTTGCAGGATTAATCTGCTTTAATGGAGCGACTCCGACGATATTATTTCTGCATTTCACTGCTCGCGAGAGATCGGGTTATTTTCTCTAAATGATGGCGACTCGCCGTGATTGCCAACCTCCAACCTTTTCAATTAGATCTGCAAAACCTCTTCGAATTTTACCAGCCGACATGCCGCCGATTTTTCCGGGTCATAAACGTTTTGACGATTGCATCAGGCGCTATATGCAGACGCCAATCAATGCTAATTGCTCTGACATTGTTATACTCAAACACGTCAAAAATTGACGCAAAAACAAAAGTGCGAAAAAAAGAGTCAGAATGCAAGAGAGAATTGCTATCTTTTTACGGATGAAGAATATTTTTGCTGTCGCATTGAAACATCTAACAATGGCTACGGCTGACAACGATATAATTTCAATGAGCTTGCGTTGTTACACTTGTTAAGTGATATCCACGTTTACTCGCTATAATATAAACGCGCCACCGCTGAAAGAAACAATGATATAAATTATATTTTCTACACTTTAGGAAAATAAAAGTGTTTGTGGAAGCACTTTATGCAAAATGTGTGTTTGCAGATATTTTATTATAGCATACTCTCTCTGTGAAAGAGAAAAATGTAAATTTATGTTACGCCAGAAAATAATTAACCCTTTGTTTGCACAGGGGCTTCAGCGGCAACTCGACGAATTTTTCGTCCTTATGTAAGGACCCACAATGACAAGTCTTAACTCGGTAGAAAATTAATTTCGAACATTGTTGAAAAGAGAAGTAATATTTTAATCGATGTAATAACATTATATAATATATTTATTGCAAAAGAAATAACAATGAAAAACATACCCTTGAAGAATTAATTATTATAAAGTTAACGTTGAAAATTATGCTCTCTAATATCATATCTCGAGTCTAATGTCATAGACTCGGAGTTTTGAGAGAGTGGATAGACCAAATTTTATTATCAAATGACCGATGATATACACAGATTTTACATAAAATGATAGGTGACATATTTTTTCGTTATCTGATGGATTATTGATTAGGATACGCGCTTCAGATATATTGCACTTAGCAACAGTAATAATCTCAACGCTCGATAGTCTCGAAGGGGACGTACGTTATCGTCGATTAATTGGGAAACCACGTAGGCGTTTCGAGGGGCTATTAATTGGACTGTTATTAATTCAACATATACCCCGCGAATTTCCTCCCGAACTTTTGATGTGAGATCGCGGATAGTTAGTATCGCTGTTAGTACCCAATTATATGTGTGTATTGTATATATATATATATATACACATACAGGGTGCTCAAAAAATCCATTCAATATTTATATGGTAGATAGGACACACCATGCTGAGTAAAAAAACCTTAGTAAACATAAGTCGAAAGCTCAACCGTTTCTAACAATAAGATTAAACATTTTTGTGTGTTAGCATCATGATTGACTTACTTGGCTTCTACGTGTTACATACGATGTGAGAAGAAGATAATCTGTCTAAATCTCGATATTTACAGAAGGTGTTTCACATGTCCTCCTTCCATTTCCATACACACTTGGCATCTTCTTCTTGCGAATCGCAAAGATCCGCAATCGCCGGTTGATGACAACTGACTGATTGCCGGTGAAATCTTCTGTTATGAAGTATGTATGGAAATTGAATGAGAATATTCAGAACGCGGTTTATAAACACTGAGGTAAACATCGCATACGACACGTAGAAGCCAGTAAGTCAATCATAATACTAACATACAAAAATGTTTATATCTCAGAAACGGTTGAGCTTTCGACCTATGTTTACTAAGGTTCTTTTTACTCATTGTCAGTATGGTATGTCCTATCTACCATATATAAATATCTACCATATACACACACACACACACACACACACACACACACACACACATATATATATATATACATACATATATTAGTTGTGTAAGTACACACTCGTACTTATATAATTTCTATTGTTCTATCAATATTTCCTTCGTACACTCTTTATTTGAAAAATGAACTGATTTACGAAAAAGCTTAATTGGCAGAAATATTTTCTTACAATATCTGTTTACGAGAAAACTAATTTAAAATAAAATTCTATTGTTCTACCATTCTTTCCTTCAAGAAAGAATATCTCTATGTATGTCAAAAGATTATCATTTTCGACAAATCAATTACGATATATCTTAACAAAGAAATATTTTTATGTTAAAAAATAATTGTTTTTGCTATTGTTTGTTGTTGCAACCATTTCAGGAATATATAACAAGCCATATGATAGGTTGAGAAATATTTATCTGACGTGATACACTTAGTTTGCATCTACCTATTGATTTAGCTTTCCGTTCCGAATAGAATCAACGCTACCATCGCACATCGTGAGGGATTTTACGAAATGATTACCGAAACAAGATTAGAGAGAAGCTGTCGCTCGTCGTGCGATGTTTAATTAGACAATAATTAACGCTTGCTCCAATTTCAAAGTCCTGCCAGTACAGACAAGCAGATAAAGCTGTTAAGATATTCGTCGACACAATGGTCTCCACAACTATATAAATAAATACAAAGGAAAAACGCTAGTACTTTAATTCCTTTTATTCTTGTCCGATTATTTTATAAGTTCCGAATATTTTTTATAAAAATTTCAAGAGTGTGCACTATCAGTTATTTTGAAAAAAAGATGTATCAAAAAAGTCTTTTTTTATGCATAACTACGTTTTTTATTTTATTTTGTTTTGATTTATTTTATTTTATGAAGACTCTTGTTCTTATAACATTCCAGATAATTGATCATCCGATCAACAAAGTATGTCGAATAATTAAAATGAGCACCACTCGTGAAAGTAGGGCAATTAGTTCGGTTGGAATAACATTATAATTCAGAAAGCGAGTTGCTTAAAATAACCAGAGTACCACTGAAAGTTTTATCATAATAGCAGTAATTATGAATTCTTTTTGGTGCCATTCGCTCAATAAAATAAACGGCATTTTTTATTTATGATTGTAGCTCTTACAGCTTCTAACCAAAAGGAAATCGATATCAAATCGTTAATTCTTGCGGGGCGCACGTTTGCGACGATAAACTTCATTAAGAATAAATGTCCGATAATAACGGCAAAAATAGCGGATAAAAATGTTTCAAGATGCTCGTTAATGGGATAGCATAATTTTTTCTTATTGAAAAAGGTTCGTAGAAGATGTATTGAAATTACGTCACACATTGTATATGAAATCACGCTGTCGTTTTACTTTTTCCGTGATTTTTGAATAACTTTTACAAACCGTACTCTTATTTTTCACAATTCGCGAGAAACAACATTTTATTCTTTCTTTGAAAACGTCAGAGATATAAAAGTTTAATTAAAAGCTTATAATACGTTTGAATTAGATGTAAAGTATTTTATTCGCACGCGTTGGCAAAGTGCCGTTTTTTCACAACAAAGTAAGTGCAGGAGTTTCGAAAATTTCAACGAAAAACACAAACGAGTCGGACTAAGGGGCAAACGGAGAAAAACGGCGGTGTGTTGCTCGGTAAAGCACCATAAAGTCTCATTGGCTTTAATTCGGTCGTACCCTGCTGGCCACTGGGAGTGATTAATCGTAAGGTTACTGCAACACGAAAGCACCTTACCACCAATCATTCCCTACGATGCTTTAAAAGCAAGTCAACAATATTGCTTAATGCGTTCCGCACCTAATTGACTATATGTAGTTATCTTGCGAAAAAGATACGAGAACTATTTTATTAAAGGTATTCTCGAGCTTATTTCTAAACTGAAAAAAATAATTGCATGAAATTATAAATTATATTTGGTAACATTACGTGTTTTCTCAAGAGATATTCGTTAGTCGGCATTTTATCATACAACGACTACTACAAAAATACTTGTGTTCTCATTTATTAAAATTCATCGTAAAGAAAAGAAGGGGCTTTCGGTTAATGGTGATGAAAAATTCAACTATTTTTAAAAGGAAGGAAAGAAGGTCGGTCAATGTTTAATCTTTAAATAGATCAGGATATATTATACATTCTCATTGTATCCCTTATTAAATCTTGGAAGTTTTTAAGACCATCTTTAATTTTTTATTGCGCACTTTCTTCCCCCCACGCTTAGATTGCTAAAGGAATCTGTAGATGAAAATATAATAAACTTGCGACAACCCTGTATACATCAAAGTAATATTTCTTATTATTATGATGCTTCGCCAAGATCGAAAAAAAGCTATATATAATACTTATTTCTAAAAACTAAAACATTTAATTAGATTAATTTTGCTTTTCGACAGACGATATTTGTATGTATTTATTACTTGAGAGTAGAAAAAATATATAAAAAAATAAATTAAATAATTTGTGTATTTATTATAATTGCAATAAATACGACAGATGTTCAGAAATAAAGCACTTCTCTTAAATCTGTTTGCCGATATTTAAAAGTGTATCATCGAACATAATCCACGGACTGCGCGCGTGCAGATCACGTATAGAACGAAAGGGAACGCTTATGAATTCTCGAAGAGTACGTTTATTTCCCGTGGCTTATAAATATGCATGCCCCACCGCTTATTCCGCGGTAGAGAGAACCGACGATATTTTCTTCTTTTTTTCGTTTTTATACGACCGATGTGCCGGTGAAACGTTGATTGAAAGTGTGCTTGCTATTGCTGCTGTTTCAGCTGCGCGAATACACCCTGACCGAATCGTATCATGAAGACGATGTCTTGGTGGAATTCGTCAGCAACGACAATCTCCAAGCGAACAGCGAGGCTCCCCGAGGAATCGATCCGAACAGGGACCTAAACGAGGCCATAGCCGAGGAACGAAGGGAAATGGACACCCAGAGATACAGGTACGCAATTCCACATACTACCACCGTCGGTCTTTTATCAGTCTCCTCTGTCGAATTTTTTACTTCGTATTTTTGCGGATTAACGGGAGTAAAAAGTTGCGCTTTTGTATACATGTTTAATAACCAGGCTGTCAAAATAAAAAAAAATTGCTGATTTTCTCTTTTTTTACATATCTGCGTTGTCAAATCTGCTCGAATCAGTCAATCAGTTCAAATAAATGGACTATAAAATTCTAAAGAAGAAATCGAAAAAAATTTTAATTTTCTTGACCGAAATTTAAAATATTTATAGAATATAGAACATGTGGGTTATTTTTTGCGTATGTTGATAAATAATTCCTCTCATCATTGCTTAAAAAAGCATGATTAAATTTAAATGCACAGATACAATATATAAAAAGACTTAAACTCTATAATAAGTTAGCATTTTTCGACCGAATATTATATAGTATAATAATTTAAAATAAAATAGCAGCTATTATATAAATACGTATAATTTTCGATATTTCTATTATATGTGAATGTTATAATGTCAGTATTTGACTAAATATTTTTTACGATGCGATATCTTTTTCGCGTACCCTTCTTAAAGTATTCACGTTAGATTGAGAAAGACTAGGGGAGAGACACCGGTATCTCATAAATCCACGGTTAATAAAACCGAGGGTCCGAGAGAAAGCCCGAAGTTCGAGTCAGCTCGTTAAGCCTAGCAGCCTAGTACGTTTTCTTCGAGTTTTAGTTCGTCCGGGATGTCACACCTCGAGGCGACGCTC